GCCGGTCGCTGCTCGTGCGCCGTCGCCCGGACCACGCCGCCGCGTTGCGCCAGCGCGTGCTCTGGGTGAAGCGCAAGACTGGCCACCTCCCGTACAAGCAGGACGCGCACGGCCTCTCGTCCATCTTTTGCCGCCCCTTTGGCAGCGCCGCCGCGCCGCGCGAGACGTCCCTCTCCCATTTCTGCTCCGAGCCGGCCATTCGCGCTTTTGCGCAGCACCTCTGCCGCCGCGCCGCCGCGCCCGCCGCCACGCCCGCCGCGACAGCGCTCACCGCTTCCCCCGACGCGGTGGAGCTGCACACCTTTTGCGACCGGCTGCTGTATGAGTGCCTCACCCAGGAGAAGCCCGACTTGGTGCCAGCGTACCTCCTGCTCTACCACACAGCGCTACGGCTCCAGCGCAACCGCTGCGCGGTCGGAATGCGCTCGCTGCGGCTGCTGCTGGCCCACGCGGAGGCGCGCGACGACGAGCCGTTGCAGCGCCCGTTCCTCCGCTCGCTGTGTCACCACGTGCTCCGGGCGGCGCGCGACGAGGGGGACCCGCCGCCCGCACCCGGAGCCTCGCGGAGCGGCGCGCACTGGCTCGCCATCGCCGCACGGCGCAAGCAGCAGGCGCGCGCTCAGTGAGTCTCTGAGCAGATGCAGCATGTACGTGTGGGATCACAGAGAGCACGACGACGTCGTGCTGTCAGAGAGCGCGCTCAGCGCCTGAGAGGCATGACGACGAAGTCACCGCGCCTTGCGTGCGCGCGCGTCGGCGAACTCGGCGTGAGTAACGCAGTACGGTGTACCTTGGTATGGCCTTATATCATATACGTACCTGTCGCGAATGGGTAGGGTTGTCAAACGTTAATTTGGGGCCTAACAGTTGCGCTATTGTTGGCTGAAATCCTCAACGTTGTTCAAGTGTTCATCCCAGCCCATGCTGTTACTGTTTGTTACTGTTGTATTACGCTTTCGATACTCTGATCTCTGTTTGTTCAGGCTTCAGCGGCCAGCAAGCAGAAAATGGCAAAAAACCCGGGTAAGGGGTAAAACCCGAAAATACCTGGGATTTTCCGGGTATTTTCGGGTATTACCCGCACTGGACGCTGGAGATCGTCGTGGGTCACTGCCAGGCCTTCCTTACTGTTGTTCAGTCGGCCTAATAATTTCGCCTAACGTAAGCTACACTGTTGTTGGGGAGCCCCACTGCTGTTGTTCTGTTGTTACTGTTAACACTAGCAACACTGTTCAGCTCTTAACGTTTGACAACCCTACGAATGGGCTCAGCTCCTCTCTTCCTTCCTCGTGTCGTGGGGCTTTGTGCGCTCGACCATCGACGTCTGCCTCTACACCTACGAGAAGGACGGCACCGTCTTGTGGGCTCTCGTCTATGTCGACGACACTCCTCGCCGACAACTGCCCCAACTTACGTGCGCGCTTTGTTGCCGACATCTCGCGACGCTCTCCTACCGAGGACAAGGGCGAGCTCGAGTGGATCCTCCGCTCAACACCGCCATCACTCGCAACCGCGCTGCTCGTTCTCTGACCTTGTCTCAGGACCTCTACACCGCCGACCTCGTCGCAAAGTTCGAGTCGTACTTCGATCGCTCGCGCTCTCGTCTCTTCGCGACTCGCCGATTGACGTGAGGAAGGCCTCGAGCTCTCTCCCGCCGATCAGCCCGTTCTCGGCTCCGTCGAGTACGACGTCGACGAGATGTCCAAGTTTCGCGATGCGTACATGGCCATCGTCGGCGGCTTCTTTAGCTTGCGAATATGACGCGCGTCGACATCGCCTACTCCGCCTCGCAGCTCGCCCGCTTCATGACCAACCCCGGCCCGTCGCACTTTAAGGCTGCAATTCGCGTCCTTGAGCACTTGTATGAGCACTTGATAGGGTCGATTCCGCATGGTACGGGACCCCTCGATCGTCTCGCCCACCCTCACTGGTGTGTTCATTTGGGGGGGCCATAACAAACACGGTACAGGATCGAGGTGCACGCTGCAGAAGCAGTGTCGTCCCCCCTCTCCCCGACGGCGATGGCGGTGTGACCGATCGAGCTACAAGAGGAGCTTGTTCAGCAGGATCCGGGATAGTCAGATGCACTACCTCACTGGGCCTGAGACCACCACACGACAGCATCCCGTCACCGTCTCGGATTTATGTGGGGTCGAACCACTCCGGGATGGGCAAGCCCATCAATTTTCGTTTCGTATCTCCCCTGCACCTGCAGGAGATGGCGAGAGATGGATGAGTGGAGCTGGGCCGGAAGGGGAGAAGAGGAAAGGCGGGGGCGGGGCAGGGAGGAAGGGGGGGGGGTGGCTCAGATGGTCGAAGACTGCAGTCATAGCAACTTGTAGACGTATTACACACACAAATCGCGTCCTCGTCTACTTGCGCAACACCGCTGGCCGCGCTTTTATCATGCGCCCTAATCCCGTCCGTGGCCTCGAGAGCTTTGTCGACTCGAGCTGGGCCACCAAGTTTTCGTGCTCTGGCGGGATGTTCTTCTACCACAGGTGCCTCTTTCACTGGCTCTCAAAGATGCAGCGCTCCGCCACCCTTTCCAGCGCCGAGGCCGAGTTCTTTGGCGCTATGCTTGCTGCCAAAGGAGGTTATCTTCATTCGCGCGGAGCTGCTCATCGACCTCGGCATCCCTGTCGCGACGCCCCCAGCGTCATCAAGTGCGACTCCAAGTCCGCCGTCGGCATGGCCTTCGACCCCGTCGCATTCAAGAAGACCAAGCACATCCTGCGCGCTGCCGAGTTCCTCCGTGATCTCGTCGCACGCGAGGTGATCTCCGTTGAACACCTCTACCCGGAGCCGTGATGCTCGCCGACATCCTCACCAAGGCGGCTGCACGCGCCGTCTTTGTCGAGCTGATCAAGCAGCTCGACGCCTTTGCATGGCTTCGCGCGCGCATCGGGCCAGGAGGGGCTGTTCCCGGGCATATGCACCCATGCACCCCGGCGCGCAATTCTTTTATTGGTAGCGGCCGCACACACTATCGCATTCTTTGTCTCGTTTTTGTGTCCTGTTTGATTGTCTGTGCCTTCGTGGCTTCTCTACATGTCATCTCACGGCGATGCTCACCACCACCGCGCTCCTCCTCTGCTTCGCACGCCGGTGTGGCCGCTATCGCTCAGTGTGACACCTTGCACGATCACCACTCAGACTGTATGGTTGCGCCGCCGCCGCCGCCGGCGCGCACCTCTCACGAGTTCCTGAGCCCGCCTCCCGGACATTTGTATTTATTCTCAGCGGCAGGGGCCATCGGGCTGGCTTCCCCCACGACTCAGGTGTTCACAGCATGCCCGACGACCTCGTACCTGCTCCAATCATGCGCGTCAGCGCTGCGTCGAATGGGCAAGTGTGACCGCGGGCTTCCGCTATGCAGGGCGCGCGTGGGTGGTGCACACCTGAGGCGGTGGCCTGCGCCATCGCGCGCCCAGCCAGAAAGCCGACCGAGACGAGGATCGCGCCCCCAACAACGTGGAAGTAGCCGAAACCTTTAGCGGAGGAGGAGCGCAGCGAGCCCATCTCGGCCGTGGAACTCTCCTTGACGAGAGCCTCCATGAAATCCAGCGACTCCGTGTCACTCATGAAGGCTGGCGTTCCCTCTGGGAGGCACTGCGTTGCCGAGCCCAGAAAGTCCTCCCCAATCGTGTACTCCCCGGAATCGCAACGGCAGTACTTTTCCGGCGGCGGCGACGAGGGTGGCGGTGGCGAGGGCGGCGGTGGTGGCGGCGCCGACGGCGGCGGGGGTGTAGGCGGCGGTGGCGGCAGTGGCCCCGGGGGCGGCGACAACGGCCCCGGGGGCGGCGGCGGCGGCGGCGGCGGCGGAGTCGAGGGTGGCGGTGGCGAGGGCGGCGGTGGTGGCGGCGGCGACGGCGGCGGGGGTGTAGGCAGCGGTGGCGGCAGTGGCCCCGGGGGCGGCGACAACGGCCCCGGGGGCGGTGGCGGCGGCGGCGGCGGCGGAGTCGAGGGTGGCGGTGGCGAGGGCGGCGGTGGTGGCGGCGGCGACGGCGGCGGGGGTGTAGGCAGCGGTGGCGGCAGTGGCCCCGGGGGCGGCGACAACGGCCCCGGGGGCGGTGGCGGTGGCGGCGGCGGCGGAGTCGAGGGTGGCGGTGGCGAGGGGGGTGGTGGCGGCGAGGGCAGTGGCGGAGACGGAGGCGGCGAGAAGTTGACGAAGCCGTCCAGGTCTCTGCCCACGCCCCCATATGGCACAGATACAACCGTGGGACTGTCGTCTATCGTCTGCGCGAGCCCGGGCGGCAGCGTGGACGTGTCAATGGTGACTGTCCACTCGCCGGGAAGGAGCTCCTGAGCGTAGCTGCCGTCGGCGTCTGTGAAGACCTCGTACCTGTCACCGTCGTCGTTGGTGATGATGACGGTCACGCCTTCGAGGCCCTCGTCGTCGATCTTGGGATCGAAGGCGCCAGTGACGCCCGCGTCCATGAAGATCGTGCCGCTCAAAGACGAGGGCTGCGTGAAGCCGTCTACGTCATACCCCACCCCGCCGGGTGGCACATCGACGATTGTGGACCCGGTGCCGACGGTCTGCCTTAGCGACGGCTTGTTCAGCAGAGCGAAGGACCGTTCGTCGATGACCACAGTCCATTCGCCCGCCGACGGCAACTCCTGGCTGTAGAAGCCGTTCGCGTCAGTGACGACGGTGTACGTGACGTCTCCGTTGGTGATGAAGACGGTCACGCCTTCGAGGTACTCGTCGAGGTCTTCCGTGAACTGCTGGTTGATGTCTTTGTCCTCGAAGATGTAGCCCTCGATCATTGGGGGCGGTGGCGAGGGAGGCGGCAAGAATGGGCCCGGGGGCGGCGGTGGGGGTGGTGGCGGCGGCGCCGAGGGCGGCGGGGGTGTTGGCGGCGGTGGCGGCGGCGGTGGTGGCGGCGTGGGTGGCGGTGACAATGGCCCCGGGGGCGGCGAGAGTGGACTTGGGGGCGGCGGTGGCGGTGGTGGTGGTGGCGCCGAAGGCGGCGGTGGCGAGGGTGGCGGTGGCGGCATTGGGAAGGGTGGCGAGGGTGGCGGCAAAAGTGGCCCTGGGGGCGGCGGTGGCGGTGGCGGCGGCGGCGCCAAGGGCGGTGGTGGCCCTGGGGGCGGTGGTGGTGGTGGCGGCGGCGGTGGCGGTGGACCGGGTGGCGGTGGCAAAGGCGGCGAGGGCGGCGGGATCGACGGGGGCATAGGCGGTGGGGGTGCCGGCGGCTGGTGGTCAAAGCAGAAAAGGGCCGAGCCCGTCGCACCCGTTGTCACGGTCATGCACTGGTCCGGGTCCGCGTAAATGTCGTCGTGCTCAGACTTCAGGCGGACAAACCTGCGAGGGTAGATAGATTCGTCTGACGCATTTCTCTCGCTGTGTCCTCATGACCGTCAACGTCCACAAATACCGGAGAGGTAAGGCCGTGCCGAGTCACAATCCATGTCGCATGCTGCGATTGCCATGCCAGCACAGGGGGTGTGTACTACGAGAGCATCTGGGCAGCAGACGTCGCGCCACCCTCTGGATCGTGTACGACAGGTGTACGACAGGTGTACGAGGATCATGCGTGTGTCTCTCGGGAGAGCGTCTAGTCGGGTTGCTGTTTTGAGCACGCAACACGTCGTACGTTGCGTTGTAATAAGTGTTAAAAGATAGTGAGAGAGAGGTTGATTGTTTTTTTTTGATCGAGTCATAGTGAAGTTTGAAGTATGAAGACAAAACCCCAAAACTTATTTAAACAAAGTCAAAGTCAGAAACCAGAGAAGGCAAGGGAGGGATGGGAGGACGGGACGCCGCCACCAAGATTTTAAGGCGAGGACCTCAAGGTGGCAGCAAGAAAATCTTTCTTTGTTTCACACCGGGGACGCCTGTTTGCCTCACATGCGCGCTGTACTCTGGCGAGCACGCCGGCGCCTCTCTGGAAAGCCGGTCCCGCCACCTCCGCCTCGGCCTGACGCGACGCTGCTCTTCAAGCTCACCAATCCGGAACTCCTTCTTGACGTAAAGAAGGGCCAGCACTGGCTCATCCCTGCTGGCATATGGGCCTTCTTCTCGGTCTACTTTGGCTACCTGTATCTGCGAGGGGATTTCTCGAACGTCCCCGTGAGCAGTGAACCGCAGTTGCCGCCGGGAGTGATCAGGGTGAGCCGGCGCCGCACGATTGTGAACATCACTGACACAGCCGTGACGTCACTCGTCAGCCTATGAGTAGGTGCTTCCGGACGGCCGCTACCTGCACGAGGACGGGCGCATCTTCCGTCCCCAGCGCAGCGATTCTTAAGTCAAGTGCGAAGCACGACCCGGTGCTCGTCCCTCTCAACCGATGCACATGTGTTGTCTATGTGTTCGTATATGCTTCTGGCCGCGCGTGTTTCTGGCCGTGTCACGAGTGATGTGATGAGCAACTTGAACTCACATGAACTCGAGGCGTAATGTACCATGGCGCTCCTTGCCCCTTGTCCCACGGAGGGCCCTCCCCGCCTCGCCGCGCACGCCGTGTGCGTCGCCGGCACCCGCGCCGCGAGCGCGTGTGCGACCGCCGCGGGCCGCCGCCGCCCGCGGCTCTCTCTCACTGACAACAAGACACAGCACGAGACCCGTACACCCCAACTCGTCCAAGGCAGCGCCCTCACATCGCGCCTTCGCGCAGCGCTTGGAGCCGCTTCTCGAGCGCGTCATCGTGCTCGTCCGCCGCCGCCCCCATCTGCACCGCCCCCTTGCCCACCGCCGCCGCCTTGTTTGCAATCTCGAGGCCGTGCTCGGCACTGACGGCGTCGAGCAGCTCGTCGACCTCGGCCTCGGGCATCGAGGCGGCGGTGGCCCCCCCCAGCGCGTTCTCCACCGTGGCCGACGCGAGGTCGAGGTTCTCAAACGAGCTCTCAAACTGCTCCATCACCTTCCCTATCTGCTCCATGTCCATCGACTTGAGCGCCTGCGAGGCGCGAGGGGAGAGAGGGAGGGCGGCGGCGCGCGGTCGACCGCCGGGCGCGGGGCGGAGGGGAGCGGGCGGCCGCGCCGCCTTGTCCATCCCCTTGACCACGCCTCCCATCTGCTTGGTGACAGCCTTCATTTGTATCGCCTGGTCAATCCGCGCGGCGACCGCGTCCATGCGGCTGGCGAGCTTCAGGTAGTTGGTCGCGGTGTTGCGGATGCGGATCGCGTTCTGACACAGCGGGGCCGGGTGAAGCGCGTGGCGCGGCGGTGCCGGGTCTGGTGGCAGCGCGGGTCCGCACCTGTGCGTGGATCCTAGCCACGTCCATGTTGCCCTTCTCCATCTCCTTCTTCACCTGCGATCAGGCGGCTCTCTCCGGTCAGCGTGTGGGAGAGCGCAGGCGCGCCAGCTCGGTCGCGCCTTGAGCAGCTCCGCCTTCTCCTGCTTCGTGCTCTTTGCAGACATGCGGTCAAACTGCTTGCTGGTGAGCTTCAGGTCGAAGACCTGCTTCTCGAGGTTGGGCCCGCTGCTGAAGAAGTTCATGGAGCGGCTTGGCCCGCCGACGCAGACGCAGACGCAGACGGTCAGTTGCGCTGGTTTGAGTGCTCGGGCACCTCGCTGCCGTCGCGACCGTCCGCGCGGCCTGGATTCTTTTTATTCACGGGGTGTGTTTTTTCTTCTCATGCATCCGGCACCTTGTGCATTGGCCTCTCCCGCCCCGCTGGGCTTGCCCAGAGCATGACGAGTCCCGTGGTGGAGGACCTGCGCGCGGCGGCGTCCCAGCTCGGCGAATCGGGCGTCTGGGACAGCTACTACGACTGCGTCGCGACGCGGCTCGGCTTTAGCGACTACGAGCCACACGAGCTGCTCGGCGCAGTCTACGAGGTGCTGCGGCCGGAGCACGGCGTCGCCGCGCTGTGTGCAGAGTCTGTGCGTGCCGCCCGCAGGCGGGCGGTCCCGTCTGGCCGCTCCCTCAGCCCGCGCGCCGCCGCCCGCAGGCCGTGATGTTTGGCGCTCTCCTGCTCACCTTCTTGGGCGTCCACCTGACCCGGCCGATGTCCTTCTTGCTGGGTGCGCTGATCGGCATCGGCGGCGCGCTGCTCCTCGACGACATCTTCCTGCCGCGCGCCGCAGACTCGCGGATGAGCTGCGAGACGCTCGAGTCGACGACGCTGCTCGCGGGGCTGCTGGTCGGCGTGGGGATGCTCGCCTTCCGGAAGGGGCTGCACGTCGCGCTGGGGCTCCTCTTCGGGGAGGTCGCCGGGAACTCCGCGTACGGGCTGCTCGAGATGCAGTCCTCGCCCGCGGGGGCCGAGGTGCAGCGCACCATCCGGATGCTGCTGGCGGTGGTCGGGGCGGTCGTGATGCTGATGGTCGGGGACACCTTCTGGCTGTACGTGTCGGCCGTCGTCGGCTCGTGGGTGGCGACGCGGAGCTACGTCGAGCTCTTCCTCGTCAACGAGGAGCCGCGCTACCAGGCCTTCCTCAGGCGCGCCCACCACCGCCCTCCGCCCCTCCTCCCGGCCCTCCGCCCTCCGCCTCCACTTGGACCTCCGCCGCCGCGCACGCGCAGGTACGAGCCCAACTTTGCGACCCTCGCCGGCCACCCCTACTCCTTCTTTGCCGACTTCATCCACGACCCGTACCTGCGCAGCCCGATGACGCTCTTCCTGCTGCTCGCCGTCGGCGGAGGGCTCACGCAGCGAGAGGTGTGGCAGAAGTTGCACCGGCGGAACGGGCCGCCGCCCGACCAGCAGGGCGGCACGGCGGCGGGCAAGCCGGCCGGCCTGGCCGGGGCGAAGCCGGCCGGTGGGTACGGGTACGATCAGCTGCTGTGACGCGAGGGACGGACCGGCCCGCCTTCGTCTCGATATATCCCTTTCCCGGTCGATCTCTGCGGCGACCGCCCCGGTCGTGTGTGTGTTTGTGATGAGCATTTAACTGGCTGTGGTGTATGTGCTCTTAGCGCACGAACGTGTCGTGCGCGCGAGCATGCATGCTTTATTTATCGTTTGAACACACCGCCGAGCGGCGGCCGCGCCGCGCGCTCTCTCGTCTCTGAGGTCCGTTTCGTGTGGTCCGACACCCGTACTATGTTCAATCCCCCCTCCGGGTGATGCCAGGGCAGCAAAACGGGCTACGGGTGGTGCCATGCAGCCAGCCTGACCCCCTAGAGCCGCCCGGCACCACCGCACCGGTGCGAGGCGTGATCGTGCTGCTTGGGGTACATTGTTGTTTTCATGGGCTCGAATGCGGTGTGAAAATGGCGCTCCGAGGTGCCGATTTTGCACGCGAGTGCGAGGTTCGAGCTCTCGTGCTCCGTCCACAGGCTGCGAGCCGTCGAGTGCTCGCTTCGCACTTTCCATTGGGTCCGTTGGCGCATATCGGGCGCCTCGCAGGCACGCCGTCCCCGCGTCTCTGTGGAGGAGATGCGTCACCCGGTTGCACTCAAATCGCAGCCGAACGCCATATCGCTCCGTGTGCCCCACCGGTGGCTAGCCTGCCGCCACCGCTTCATCGCACTTTCCATCAGATGTGTGGGCGCGGGGCGGATGCCTCGCCGGCAGCCGAGGTGCTCTCTCCTCGGATCCTTTGCGTCACCCGCAAAAAGTTCTTCGGAAGCCACTGCCGTCTGGGCACTCCACCAGCCCTCCTCGCCTTTTGAGGCTGGGATTGGTGTCGCCCGTGGCATCTGCGCCGGTCGAGAGCTTCCACGTCGCTCATGCGCATCAGGGCGAGCGAAACGCTCGCCCTCGGACCGGTTGCCTCTGTAGAAGCGCCCGCTACTGTGGCACCACGCTGTGTCCCTCTCTCAAAGAGGGTGTGTGTGACGATACGTTCCTTCTAATCTATACCCGTGCCGAAAATCACACGCACACACATCTGAATCACACACACATCTGAAGACAACTATCTGAATCACACGTCGGTCTAGGTCAACATCTCAAAGTCCGAGTCTGTGTCCTCGGCAGGCTCCTGCTCCGCCGCTGCGCCAAAGGCGGTCAGCGTTGCGGAGCCTGTGTGCGGCAGTTGGCGCTGGACATAGGCTAGACGTAACAGCGTGCGCACGTCGTTTCGGCGCTGTGCGACGAAGGCGTTGTTTTTTGCCTTCGCCGTCTTCATCGCCGTGCAAGTCCGCCGCATGCCGTTGAGCGGGGTGATCTCCTCACGCCTGCGGGGGCGGCGCGACACCGGTCAGCCTTATCGCAGGCATGCACACACACACACAGGGAGAGCGCACCCGCGAAGGTACTCGCTGAAGGAGCGAGTCAGGTCGCTCCTCACGTAGTCGACAGCCACCTCCGCGACAAAGTCCACCCAGAGCGCGCACTCGTGAGTGCAAGACTGCAGCTGCACATCCACCACCTCCAGCGCCCAGCCGGCGGCAGGCCCGGGGCTCCGGTGGAAGCAAGACGCGATGCCCGAGTCGATTGCGCCGCCATAGGGCTCGTGGTAGAGCACCCGTCTCTGGTCGACGAAGAAGAGGAGCTGGTGCCAGTGCCCGCCAAACTCGCTGCCGTCGGTAAAGCGCTGCATGACCAGCTTGCGCTCCGTCGGTGCCTCGCCCGCGAACAGCTTCGCCACCCACCCGGTGGGGGCTCCCGATTTGAAGCGGTTGAAGAGCGATCCGGCGCGAATCGTCATCCCCGAGATCGGCGCCCTCGCCTGCACGTCCTGGCTGTCGGCCCACGGTGAGAGGTCCTGCATGTTATGCACAATGATGTTATGCACGCGTGCGATATCGTCGTCCGAGATGTCGAACAGGAGCGTGGCGCCATCCCGAGCGAGCGACGCAGCGCCGCGCATCGAGATTGAGCGCTCCGTACCGCTTTTGTGGCGGTACAAGTACACGGCCTTGCGCAGGGCGGCCGAGTAACGATTACCCGTCATGTTTTGACGCAGCGCGAACTCGATGCGATGGCGTGGCCGGCCGCGCTGCGGCCGGCGCGCCTCCGCTGCCCGCACCTCCGCCGCGCGCTGCCACAGGCCGAGGAGCGAGTCGGCCTCTGTCGGCTCCACCTTGCCGAGCACGCCGGGCAGGTGGAGCGAGAAGAGCTTCACGTCGTCGATCGCCTGCAGGGCGGCCCGCTGCAACAGCGGAGTGTTGAGCGACGCCTGCAAGACGTCGAGGCTGTAGAGGCCCGGGAGCGTCGGCACGTCGCTGGGCTCGTACACCAGCAGCAGCTGCGAGCGAAACGCTACGCCGAGGGAGCGGCCGGAGCGGCCCTGTACCTCTGGCCGCATGACGAATTCGCACATCATCAACTGAATGAATGCACCCCCGCCAAAGTGTCGCAGCGGGTTCGAGAGCTTCAGCGCCAGTTCTCGAACGAGCCTCGTCGTTGCCGCCGCGTGCAGCCGCTGCCGCCGCCGCTCCTCCTCGCGCAGCCCTACGACTTGCAAGTCGAGCCGGGCTTGGGCACGCAGCTCGCGAGGCGTCGGCACGCCTGATGTTTGCGTCCCGGTTGTCGCTGTAATCGCTTCGCGAGCGGCGGCACGGTGGCCAACCTCCTCCAGCTCGAGGCGTCCGATGTCTGCCACCAGCGTGAGCACGCTTGCTTGCTGCTGCTGCTGCTGCTGCGCAGGCTCCGCTGGAGCACTGCTCAGAGAGGGAGGTTCCTCGTCAACCTCCATGCGATCTCCGTTCGAGGCCGCAGCCGACGAGCCGCCGACGAGCCGCTGCGGCGCTGCACGGGAGAGCGATCCTCGGCGTCCGTGCTCTCTCTGGTTGTAGATCCCGTCGCGGCGGCCCTCGTCGCTCGTGCTATGCAGCTCCATGGCCTCGCCGAGGACGTCGCCAACCGAAGCATGCCGCGGCGCTCTCAGGTTCTTTGCGACGCCGACTCTGCGCGAGCCAGCACGGCTTTGCGGCCGCGAGGACGTTGCACTCGGCGAGGGCGCCTGTTGTGACGAGATCGGAAGCGTGAGATAGCGACGACTGCGCAGGCACAGAGTCGCAAACTGGCGGTACCGAGCGGCGATCTGGTCCTGGCCTGGAGCCGGGACGGACTCCTTGGCCGCTTTTGCGACGCTGTCCCAGGCCTGCGCCCGCTCTTTTCGGCATGGCTCGAGCACGAGACAAGTCGGAAAACCGCGACAACTTCGGCGGGCATTCACAGATTTTTACCACCTCGGAAGCAACGCCTGTGTGTTCACCGGTGCTAGAGAGTGTCGAAAAGGAGTCCACACTGCATTCATCGACATCAACGCGCCCCGCTGCGCCGCGCTACTCGCGAGAGCGGGAGGAGATTTGGGGAGATTGTCGGGAGATTTCCAAGATTGTCACCGGGGTGTGCGTGGGTAAGTCGTGCGTCCTACGTGCCAAGGCGATGTGCATGCTAGTCTGGCTCGTCCCAATACGCTCAGGGGGCCGAGAACAGCGCTCTGTCGCGCGCTACTTTCCGTGCTGCTGAGAGAGGCCCGGAGGGGCCCACCACGGCCCACGCTCGCCTCGGAAATGCAAAAAAATGCTCCCAGGCCCCCTCCCGCCCACCCCGCACACCTGCTTGACTACTCCCGAGCCCCACGAGCCGAGGCGAGAAAGTTCGAATTAAAGTGCGGAGTTTGAACATGGTGCGACAGCCGTGTCCGACAGGGAGAGCGAGGCCCGAGGGACAGCCGACAAGGTCTCTCAGACACACAACAGACGACAGACACTCACACGGCACTCTCGGACGTCGCTGAGATCGAGACGCCCAGGACCTCTCCGCTCTCCGGTTCGCGTTGCGCAGGGCGCGGCGGGGATATCTGCCGTGTGAGGACCGTGCCTTTCCTCTGTGCTCTCCCGACTCGGTACGGACGCGCGCTCCCTCCGGTCCCACAGGAAGTAGGCTAGGAGGCGCCGGCATAGCTCTGAGCACACAGCATTGCGCTGCTGCTAGCGCGTCCTGAGTGAAGCATCCGAATGGGCAACAGGCGGCGATGGAGCGACCAGTGGAGCTTCAGTTTTCAACTAGCGGCGACAGCGGAAATGCCCCGCGCGCCAGCCACTCGGCGCACGCATCGAGTCTCTCGAGCGCGGCGAATTGTCCACGCATCCAACTCTCTCTCCATGTGTGCGTACGGCGCCGTACCACACGTTTCGCGCGAATCGCGGCGGGTTTTCGACGTGTCGGGCGGGCGGTCCGTCCTTCCTGTGGAGCGGGCGTTGCATTCTTCTCTGCAGTCATATGGCCCTGCATGGATCAAGACGTCGCTCTACCATGACTTTTCTAAAAGAAAGAAAGAAAACATATGGCCATGCCACCCACTGTGATTTTGTGTGAGCTCTGTGTCTTCCTTTGCCAAGAACATACAGGCGACGGCGCCCCGCGTATTACTTTCTTTCCTCGACGCCGCCGCTGCACGCGAGGAAAAAGCCGGCGCCCGCGCGGAAAAAGCGCCTCATGGCCGAGTGGCAGAAGGGCGACGCCGCCTGGTGCTACATCAACGACGATGTCACCTACGAGGCGGGCAAGATCGTGGAGCTGGGTGAGGACGATCGCAGCGTGACGCTCAAGCTGGCGTCTGGGAAGACGCTCACGACAGAGCGCGCCAACGTTCTCAGAGCAAACAAAGACAAGCAGGATGGAGTGGAGGACAACACGTTCCTGCGCGAGCTGAACGAGGCGACGATCCTGCATAATGTTGGCGTGCGCTACGCCAAGAGCGAAGGCGGCATCTACTCCACGACCGGCCACATTCTGATCGCCGTCAACCCATTCCGGCAGCTAAAGATTTACGAGGAAGCGCAGGCGCGCGCACTAGACGCCGCGCGCGCCCTGCCGGTCAGACCGCGGCGAGGCTGCCGCAGCACGCTCCGCCGCCCCGCCCTCCCGCGCCGGCCTGAGCATCTCTCCCCCGCCCTGGCGCGCTCTGCCGCAGATCAAGCGCTACCTGGGCAAGCCGATCGGATCGGAGCCGCCGCACATCTACGCCATCGCCGACCGCATGTACCGACTGCTGCTGAGCTCGGGAGACAGCCAGGCGCGCTCTCGCCGTCCCAGCCCCCGCAGCCCCCGGGCGCGACACCGCGGCGGCCCATTGCTCCTGCGGTGCCGCGATCGCTCTGCCCCTCGCGCGCAGGCCATCATCGTCTCTGGCCCCTCCGGCGCGGGCAAGACGGAGACGTGCAAGCTGGTGCTGAAGCACCTCGCGTACGTGACCAAGCACCTCTCCGAGGCGGGCATGTCCAAGTCGTCGATGGAGCTCGGCGCGCTCCTCGTGATGACCAACCCGCTGCTCGAGGCGTTTGGGAACGCCGAGACCAACCTCAACCGCAACTCGTCGCGCTTCGGCAAGTTCACGCAGATCCACGTCTCGAAGAAGGGCGCCATCCTCGGCGCCTCGATCCAGACCTACCTCCTCGAGGCGACCCGCGTCGTCGTGCACGCCGAGAGGAACTGCAACTACCACATCTTTTACCAGGCGAGACGCTCCCGCTGGCCCGCTGCACCCCGCGCGCCAGAGGGGTCGCATTACCGCGCCACGCGCCGCCCAGTCTCCTCCCGCTGTCGACGTCCGAAGCCCTCCCCCCTCCCGGCGCCTCCCTGCCTACGCTCTGCCCGCCCGCCGCCGCCGCCAGATCGTGGCCGGCCTCTCGTCGAGCGAGAAGGCGTCCTGCCAGCTCGAGAGCGACGCGAACAAGTACGCGTACCTGCGCAACGCGACGGGCAAGGCGACCGCGCGGCCGGGCGGCCGGGTGGGCGGGGGCGGGGACGCCGCCGAGTTCAAGGACTCGCTCTCCGTGCTGCAAAAGATCGGCGTCTCGGAGAAGCTGATCGCGTCGCTGTGGGAGACGCTCTCGGGCCTGCTCGCGCTCGGCAACATCACGTACGGCGAGACGGTCAACGGCGACGCGTGCATCCAAAACACAAAGGCGCTCGGGACGGCGTGCAAGCTGCTGCAGTGCCACGACGCGCTGCTGCAGCAGGGCCTCACCTCGCGCACGCTCAAGCTCAAGGGGGGCGAGATGCAGGCGCCGCTCCGGCGCAGCAGGCGGGCACGCCGGTGGCACGTCCATCACATGTCCAACGACACGTCCCACAGGTGCCGCTCAAGCAGGAGGAGGCGGAGAGCGCGAGGGACGCGCTCGCGAAGGCCGTGTACGGCAAGCTGTTCAGCTGGATCGTGACGCAGATCAACACGGCGCTGATCGACAAGGATACCAAGCTCGACGACACGGGCTTCCTCGGCATCCTCGACATCTACGGCTTCGAGAACTTCGAGCGCAACTCGCTCGAGCAGCTGCTCATCAACTTCACCAACGAGCAGCTGCACCAGCACTTCGCCATCGCGCTCTTCAAGACGGAGCAGGAGATCTACAAGTCGGAGGGCATCGTCTGGCCCGGCGTCGAGTGGGAGGACAACACGGCCTGCCTCGAGGCCATCAGTGGCAAGGGCGGCTCCATCTTCAACCTGCTGACGGAGCACTCGCGGCTGCCAAAGTCGAGCGACGCGTCCATGACGGAGGGCCTGCTCAACGAGCACCGCAAGTCGAAGCACATCTCGCCGCCAAAGATGGGTTCCAAGGGCGGCCGCGGCACCGGCGCCGGCACGAAGCTGACCGGGAAGGAGGCGTTTGTCATCGCGCACTTTGCGGGCTCGGTCATGTACCAGACGGCGGGCTGGCTCAAGAAGAACACCGACTCGCTGCACGAGGACCTCTCGCTGTGCATGTCCTCCTCCTCCGCGCCCATCCTCAAGGACCTCTTCTCGGTCGGCTCGATCAACGCCTTCACCGGCGGCTCCAAGGGCGGCGGGAAGCGGGCCGGCTTCGTCGCCGACAAGTACCAGAAGCAGCTCGACGATCTGATGCGCACGCTGCGCGCGACCAGCTCGCACTTTGTGCGCTGCATCAAGCCCAACCACGAGCAGGCGCCCAACAAGTTCAACAAGTGGCTCGTGCTCGACCAGCTGCGCAACTCGGGCATGGTGGACGCCGTCCGCCTCCTCTCCTCCGGCTACTCGGTGCGCATCCCCTTCACGACGCTCGAGGAGTCGTTCAAGCCGCTCTGCCCGGACAAGTTCAAGGCACTGTCCGCGCCCACCTTCGCGACGTGCCTGCTCACCGCGCTCGACCTCGGCCGGACCGACTTCCTCGTCGGCCTGACCAAGGCCTTCTTCAAGTCGACCAAGCTCGCCTTCGTCGACGCGCTCATGGACGGCACGAAGAAGCTCGAGCCAAAGTTCTTCAAAAAAATGGCGCGCGTGCTCGCCCTCTACCGCTTCCGCCGCGCCATCGCGGCGGTCCGCTCGCTCATCTACCTCATGACTAAGATGCGCCGCCAGCGCGCGCTCAAGAAGCTGCGCCAGTCGGCGCTGGTCGCCTCCGCCGTGGGCCGCTCGATCGTGCGCCGCGCCAAGGACATCCGCTTCGGCAACGCCGTCACGATGATGCAAAAGTCGGGGCGCGGCTCCCTCGCGCGCGCCGAGTACCGCAAGCGGAAGCGGGCGGTCTGCGTCATCCAGTCGAGCGGGCGCGGCATCAAGTCGCGCCGCGAGCTCAAGGTTGTCCGCGACGCGAGGAAGGCGGACAAGAAGAAGCGGGCGATGGCGGAGCGCAACGAGCAGATCCGCAAGCACCGCGAGGAGCTGCAGGCCAGGGCGCTCGCCGAGGGGCGCGGCCCCCTCACCGCCGAGGACATGGCCAACGGCGCCTTCATGACCAAGAGCCACACGATCCAGAGCAACCGCATGATGCTGGGCGCGCACTCGGCCGCGCAGTCCGGCCTCAAGCACACCTACTCGGGCGGCGTCGGCGCGCCGCGCCGCTCGGCCGAGCAGCGGCGGCAGGAGCGGCGCGAGTTCCAGGCGGCGCGCGACGCGGAGGCGCGCGGCGAGGACCCCGAGGCGGCCATCGCGGAAATCAAGAAGGCGTACGCCGAGGGGCGGACCGAGTACCTCGACGAGCACGACCGGAAGCACGGCGTCAACCCGGCGGAGGACGAGGACTCGGACGGGTCGGACATGGCGATGGACTCGGACGAGGAGGAGGAGCTCCAAAACTCGATGCTCGCGGACGGGCGCTACAACGCCTCCAAGATCCAGAACCCAAAGGACCTGCTCGCGGCGACGGCGGCCCTCGACTACAAGTCGGCCAACCGCACGAGCAGCGGGGGCTACGACTTTGGCGACGAGGACGCCCCGCACGGCGGCAGCGGGGGCGGAGGCGGGCGGCACATGTCCAAGATGTCGCGCCTCAAGGCGTCGACCCTCGGCTCGGCGCTCGGCTCCGCACGCCGGCGCAGCGACATGAAGCTGGTGCTCTCCAAGACGGCCAAGGGCTCCATCGTCACCGCGGCGCGGATGAAGGTGCGCAAGACGGCGGACGCCAGCTGGACCGACCGGTACGCCGTGGTCGTGGGCGATGTGCTGCTCGTCTTCATGCTGCAGACGGCGCCGGATCTGCCGCTCGGCCTCCGCCTCTGGCCGTCGCAGGCGCGGCCCCGCCCCGCGCCCCTGCCCCACCCACCACCACCACCATCGACCATCACACACCTGCAAGAGCCCCCCTCCCTGGGCCATCCTTTTGCCCCCCCCCCCCCCCCCGCTCAACCCCCCCCTCCCGCTCCTCCTCGCGCAGGTCGTCTGCCTCAAGCAGTCGACCCTCGCCGACATGAAGAAGGTCGACATCCGGAAGGACGCCTCCTTCAGCCTCGCCGCGCAGGTCTCGGCGATGGGCGGCCTCCAGCTGCAGGCCGAGGACCTCGAGACGATGCAGCGCTTCGCGGTGACGATGCTGCTCGGCGTCTCCAACGTGACGCGCTCGCGGCAGCAGGCCAAGCTCAAGATGGCGCAGCAGCTCTTCCACGAGAAGAAGCTCTCGTTGCTCAAGACCCAGCACATGATTGAGCTGCTGCACAAGTCGCAGGAGATGTTCTTCGAGGCGCGCGCCTTCCGAGATCCAGCCGAGATGGCCCAGCCGAGATGGTCCAGCCGAGATCCAGCCGAGATCCAGCCGAGATGACTTTTGGTTCGAGGCGCGCGCGGCCCCTCTCGCGCCCCCTCTCGCCCCGTCACCGCGGCGCGCTCTCCCCAGGCGGGCTCCGGCCAGTTCGACGACTGCAACGCCGTGTGCATGCACTCGGGCACGATGCGCCAGTCGCTGATCGACGTGACGCCCTTCATGCCCGTCTCGGACTTCATCTGCGAGTATTGCTCTTGCGTCATCATCCCCGAGGAGGAGGCCGAGGTGGCGACGCAGGGCCTCGAGGCGCAGGTCGAGATGTCGCGGCAGCAGGTGGAGAGCGAGAAGCGCAAGAAGATGGCCCTCGACGAGGAGACACTCGAGGGCGCGCGCGACGTGCGCATCCTGCGGCAGCGGCGGCAGCAGAGCGAGCAGGAGGCGCTCGCCAAGCAGCAGCAGATCGACGACGCGATTGCCGCGCGGCAGAAGGTGCAGGCGCAGGTGGCGGAGATGCGCATGTACGAGGAGCTGCCCGGCCTGTCGAGCGCGGCGCTCGGCGAGCTCAAGGCGGCGCTGCAGGAGCAGCTCGCCGCCGCCCAGCGCGAGCGCAACCGGCTGCGCGACTCGCTCAAGGCCAAGCAGGCGCGCGCCGCGGGCAAGAGCTCCGACCTCGACCCGGAGGACGAGATCAAGCAGCAGCAGCAGCAGCAGCAGGCGCGCGCCGACGGCCGGCGCCAGGCGCCGAGCGGCAAGCCCGACCTGACTAAGAAGGGCTCGAGCCTGACGCGCATCCTGTCGTTCAACCGCAAAAACAGCGTGGGCGGCGCGCCCAGCGGCGCCGCCCCCAGCGCGAACGGCAGCACCGAGGCGGCGCCGAGCTCTTCGTCGGGGAAGAAGAGCGTCGCCGGCTCGATGATCAGGAAGCTCAGCTTCTCAAAGAAGAAGGAGAGCTCTAAGTAGTACACCAGTACCGAGTGCGACCCCACCCCGGGGGGAGGCTCGGCGCCCGCCGCCGCGGCGGCACCGCCGCCTCGTCCCGGCGCGAAAAGCCCACCCCCCCGGTCGTGAACTCTGTGATCTTGCGCGCCGCACTCGAGTGTGATGAGAGAGAGAGATTCGTGCGCGTCCTGTCGCCCCGCCACCCCACCCCCTGCCCTCCAGCGCGCGGCTAGCTCCCCGTCGTGCTGTCTCTACGGTATTCATGTGGCCCGGGCGCGTGGGGGCGTCGTCCGCGCCGCGCATATGTCCCGGGGCGTCGCTGTTGTTTTCTTGTGCGAGGCGCGAATTGATTTCTTTTCGCCAGATCGACAGATCGTGTGTGTATGTGGCTCGCTCCCTGCCTCCTCGGGCTCGTTGCGCTGAGACCCGCGGCGAATCTTCCCGTCGCCATGCTCGCGCCTCCAGAGCGGCGTGACCGCATGCAGCGTAGCAGAGCCGTCATCTACGTCGATGGCAACAACCTCATGGCGCAGCGAAAGGTGACAAAGGGGAGGGAGGCACTGGCGGCGCGGCTCGCGGGCGTGCGCGGTGCCGAGGTGGTCCTGGTCTTTGACGGCCGCGAGGGCGAGAGCCACGTCGAGTCTGGGCACGACCCGCGCGTTGTGGTGACGTCCGGCGGGGAGGGCAGCGAGCGCGAGAGCGCCGACGAGTGGATTGTGGAGCAGCTCTACGGCGGGACCTCCCCGTCGCGCACCACCGACGTCTCCATCGTCACCGCAGACAAGCTGCTGCGGCGCGAGGCGCAGCGCGCGGCGGCGGCCACCATCAACCCGGTCAAGTTCTGGCGGAGATACCTGCCCCGCCTCAAGGGCCTCAAGACCGACTATTCAAACGCGCCTCGCGGTGAGCCGGAGGACGCCTGAGCAAAACGGGTCCCCCACGACGGAGTACGGTGACGGGTTTGCTCAACACTGAATTTGGTCTGGTGAGCGCCACCGCGCACAGACGAACCGCGCCCGCCTCCGCGCGCCGCGGCGGCGCGGGTATATGTTTTCTTTTGTGCCAAAGGTTGTATGGACCGATCCTGTACAGACGCGTCTACATGAAACCTGCACGCCCTCCTATGGGTGCGCACCGCCACACACATAACGTATATAGTTAGAGAGCCGAACCGCGTGTGTCCGACGCACCGCACAGTCGGGCCAAGTCCAAGCCGATATGCCCCATCTCCAGACAGCGGTACCGCTATCGCGCAAGGAGAGTCGATGCGACGCGCCGCGCGCAAGCCTTTCGCTACGACGCGGCGGCCTTCTCGACCATCTCGGACAGCTCCCCCGACTGGTACATCTCGATGAGCAGGTCGCACCCGCCCACAAACTCGCCCTCGATGTAGCACTGCGGGATGGTGGGCCAGTTCGAGTACCTGGCACGACGCGGCGGCAGGTGGGAGCTGGGTGGCTGCTTGCGCACAAACCGAGCGCGGCGCCGCACGTTTTGACGCCGTCGCGAACGGCATTGTCTGCGAGGACGTCAAACGTCTCGTACTCGACGTTGTACGAGTTGAGAATCTGCACCGCCGTGTTAGAGAACCCGCACTGCGGGAAGAGCTTCGAGCCCTTCATGAAGAGAAATATTTTGTTGCCCTCAACCATCGCCTTGATCCGATCCTCAGTCGTCTCCATGAGCCGAGGCGGCGACGCAATGCGAGGGCGAGGCGCAGCCGACGCTGGCCGCGCGAGCGTCGCCGGCAGCAGCGCCTCCGCGGAGGCGAGTAGGAACAAAGCGGGACCAAGGAGGGCCATGTGCACGGCTCAGGGGCGAGCAGCAGCAGTGAACGAGGAGGAGCTGGCTGCAAAAATCCGGCACCGAGTTTCTTTTCTAAGCCCCAGGGGCATCTGCTAACCTCGATCGATGTTACCTCCGGTCCACACGGGTACTCCCGTGCTCCGTCCGTCTCCCATGCTTGCCCTCGGGGGGCCGTCTGCCTCTCCCTATCTCTCGTCTCAGGCTCTCTCCAATTCTCGCAGCGACCACCTTCATGCCACCTCGCGGTCGTCCCACTCTCGTAATTCTCTCTGTCCGCGCCATCCGATGTCTGTCTCGCGGTCATGCCACCTCGCGGTCATCGCTCTTGCGACGGCGCCGACGCTTGTCCTTCCCATGCCTGCCCGGCTTGGAAATTCTTAGAGCAGCAAACTCGCACGTCCAGCAGTCGCAGTCCGGTTCCGTGCGGCGTCGCTCTCGCGGCCGTCATGCACACTGCAGCCCTTCTTTTGCTCGCACCCTTCGCAGTGCCACCAGCCCTCGGATCGCCGCCTTCACGCCGGCCGCCTCTGCCGCCGCCACCTCTCCCTCTGTCACCGCCAGAGCCGCCCGCGCCGCCATCTCCGCCACCACCCTCATCGCCGCCACCTCCTCCACCGCCCTCACCCCCGCCACCCTTGCCGCCACCGCCATCGCCCCCCGCTCCCTTTGCGCCGCCGCTGCCGCCCGTGTCCCCACCTCCGCCCTCCCCTCCGCCGCCCCGCATCGTCAGCACCGCGGCTGAGATAAGGGAGGCAGTCGCAGAGAATGTGACGGCGGTGAGGCTCTGCTTGGCCGAAGGCGCAGTCATTGCGCTCGCTGGACAGCCGATTGTAATCGCTACCGGCTTCGTCACCATCGAATCCTTGGGCAAAGGCGCCACCATCGACGCCGAGGGCTCCTCGCGCGCCTTCATATTGAAACAATTCACGACGCTCGCTCTGCGGAGGGTGCACGTGCGCGACGGCTGCACGTGGGGAGGTGAGGGAGGCAGTGAGATCACACGAGGGCACAGTGGCGGCGGCTGTTTCCTCGTCAACGTCGGAGCGCGGCTTAACCTCATTGAGCTCGAGGTGTCGGGCTGCCGGATGAGGGAGGGCGACAGCGACGTGACAGACAACGGGCACACAGCCACCAACCCATATGGCGGTGCGATCGCGGTGTACGCGGGGCATGTCTTGCTCAACAGGACAACCCTACGAAACAACTCGGCCCTCGACGGTGGCGCCATCTTCGCGTCTCATGGCCTCCTCGTGGTGATCGAGAGCCTGCTGCAGGACTCGCGGGCGACGCGGCTGGGCGGCTGCGTGCTCCTCATCGCGCGGTCGTTCGCCTACGTGTCCGGGTCCGCGCTGCAGGGGTGCCACTCGGACGGGTCGGGCGGAGGCATTGCGGCCGAGGACGGCGCCTTCATCGACATGCATGACTCCAACCTCTCCAGCTGCAGCTCCCTCTCCAACGCGGGCGGCGTTTCGCTCGGGCGGTCAGGCCACGGGGTGCTGCTCCGTACTAGCCTGAAAGACTGTAATGCAGGGAGGCAGGGTGGCGCGATCTGGGCGAGAGGCGGCACCCTCTGGCTGATGGACTGTAACATCCAGAGCTGCACTGCCGTCGAGGCGGGAGGAGGGCTCTACAGTGAGGTCGCAGCGGTGACCATACGAGGCACCGAAATCAGCTGGTGCTACGCGGGTCCGGCCACCGATGAGTGTGCTTTCGACGGCGGAGATGGGGGCGGCCTCTCAATCCGCGGCGGTACACTGCACGGGAACACGGTCAGCATCCGAGACTGCCGCGCTAAGAGGAACGGCGGCGGATTGGAGGCCACCTCGGGCTCCTTGGTGGTACTGAACGCATCGAGGCTCGAACGGTGCCAGCTCCACGAGGGCTTCTACGGGCAGGGGGCCGCCATCTACACCGCGCACACGGCCAATGTGACCATGCACAACACCACCGTCTCGAAATGCCACTCGGAACTGCTCGGGGGCACGCTCTATATTGAAGGAGACCTGAAAATGATGAACGAATCGACAGTCACGCAATGCCACTGGAAAGGCGTCTCCGTCTCGGGCTCCTACGAGTCGGCCGAGACTGGCGGCATCATCATCGTGCTAGGACAGGGCAGGCTAACGATGACCAACTCGAGCGTCGAGAAATGCACGCTCATCGACCCCCGCAGCACCGACAGCACCGACCCGGCTGCGGTCCGAGAAAGTAGCAGGTACGCAGTGGTGTCTGTGGGCGACACGAGCGTCGTCGAGATCTACCACTCGGTGTTTCGAGAGAACAAGGAGGCGCGCTCAAATGACATGCTCTTAGGAGGCGTCGCCTCGTTCATGATTCAGAGCGGGTCCTCACTCCTCGCTGTCCAGCTGCAGATTGAGCTGCCCTGCATCGATGCGAGTGTAGCCATAATCGACAACCAGGCAAAGAATCTCCTCCGGACGGACCTCCTCCATCCCTCGATCGACTGGTCAAAGAGAGTAGCCTCCCCCATCGTCGCACCCTTGAGGCCCTTCGAGCTGTCCTGGTGGGGTGCCTACATCTCCGGCCAACTAGCCGACTTCTGGGGGTATGAGAGTCCGGATTTACGGGAGAGACCGGGCGCGGACGACGGTTTCGACGTTGGCGACGACGTTAGAATCTACTTGACGCGATTGGGGGTGGAGCCGGACGTGATCAAGTCGCAAGCGGATTGGGAAGAGGCGCCGCAACCTCGCATTGCGCTGTTCGAGCTGCAGTACACACTTCCCCGTGACTCCAATGCCAAATGCCCCAGCACGCTGGCCTGTGACGGTGAAACCATGGTTTGCTCCGCCGATGGGGTCGCAGTCATGCGCAAGTCGCTGTGGTCAGAGCCGTGCAGCGCGCAAAGCACTTGCGAGACTGGAGCTGTCTGTTCCCCTCACAACGTCTCAGAGACCGCAAACCTGTCCACTTCGAAATGCACGTGCGAGGAGCCGAACCTGCCGGCGCCCGATGCCCCGCATTGGGAGGGCAAATCGCTCGCGCCCTACGTGCGAGAATACGGATGCCTGTCGCCGCGCGAGGTGAGAAGCATCGGGCTGGACCACCGCAATGAAGAGCCCCTCGAGCTCACCAAGACGTGGGAGAATGACGTGCAGGTGCGTCCGCTAAAGATGTTCCTCGTTGAGACCACAGCTACTGGCATCCAAAAGCAGGAGATTCAGTGGAGCATCGACACAAACCACCCCGACTGGTCAGAGTGGCTGACGGTGGAGCCAACTCGGGGTGTCATCCCAGCCGACGAGCAGATTGACCCGGTTGGAGGCAGGGTCATCGCAAATGTGACCGCGACGACCGCGGGCGTCAGGGAGAAGGATACGTTCATAGCCAAGCTGAACGTCACGGTGAGCGTGCTCGACAGATCTCGCCCCATCACAACCCGTCGCATCCCTCTGGGCGGAGGCAGAGGCGTCACCGACGCAATCACCGGTGCGATCGGCGGAGTGATCGACGGAGCGATCGACATGCTCTCGTCTGACCCGTCCGCAACCGCCGAACCCCTACCCGGCGGCAATGCCAATGGCAGGATGAGGTCAGAGGAAAACGTGATTGCGAGCATCCCGGCCACGTTTGGATTTGTCGTGAGCCCCAAGACCAGCATGTGGGGCAAGCCGCGCGCGCACCGCTGCGTCTATGGTGGGGAGAGGCAGGCGGCCATCGAGGCAGACAACGCTACCCAGTACAGGCACAGGTGGGTGTTCGATCTCGGCACAACCGGCGGCCTGGGTGCGGACGGCAACCCCATCGAGATCCCCTTCACGATCTGCGACTTTGAAGGGTTCAACCTCAAGCACCCGTTGGGAGATGAGACACCTAAGACGGAAACGGCAGGGGCACATGACGCGAGGGGCGTGGTCGTGAGGGACGTCGGCTTCGATCCACGCACACCGGAGTTCGTGTACACGACTGAGGGCTGCTGGCTAAAAGGAACCGGACATTCGTGCTACAACTATGTCAAGGACCAATTTGGCTACCGCAACTCGACCAACCCATTTGACTGCTTCCAGCAAAAGAAAAATATCACGTACGACTCGAAGGGCAAGTACACTCTCACCCTAGCCCCCCAAACGGTCCAGACTTACAACCTCCTGCTCTTTCTCGTGAACCAGTCGGACGGGAGGGAGCAGCCGTGCGGAGAGTACTTGCTCGACGAGGGTGATCCAACAACGGCCACCTACGCGATGATCCAGGTACAGATAAAGTGCCCCGATGGCTTGATTGAGCTCACGGATAAAACTTGCGGCTGCAACAGAGGGTCGTCGGTGACTGGCAGTGTGTGCGTGACCGACACGTTGTCGCTCGTCCTCCTCTTCCTCGGCGGCCTCGCCTTCGCCCTGTTCCTCATCGCACTGTGCGTCTGCGCGCGCCGCACGTGCATCCAGCAGCGGGCCGCCCTCGCCGCCGCGCGGAGGGAGCGGCGCGAGCAGAACAAGCGCGTGCGCACGGCGATCCACGACGCGACCACGCTCAAGTTCCCCCTCTGTACGATGCCGCTCACCCGCTTGCGCGAGTTTGGACGGCTGGTCTCGTACGAGGAGGCGCGCGACGCAAACGTGCTCGTGTGCTGCGACTCGTGGGAGAAGGCCACGTCCTTCGCCGCGAGGCACCCGCTGATCTTCATCTCGCACCAATGGCTCGCCTTCTCCACGCCCGACCCGCACCTCGCGCACTATCCGATCATGATCCGGGCGGTCGAGCTGCTGGCGGAAAAGCACGGCCTTGCGCTCGAGGACTGCCACATCTGGTGCGACTATCACAGCATCCCTCAGGCCAACGACGCGACCAAGACGCTCGCGATCGGCTCCATCGGCCTGTACGCCGCATGCACCTGCCACTTCATCGTGTGCGCCCCCGAGACCTTCCACCTCGACACGCGCCTCCGCTGCGACAACGAGACCTACCTCGCGCGCGGCTGGTGCCGCCTCGAGCAGTGGGCCTTCATGGCGGCCAACGGCGTCGAGGCGATGCACTACTGCGAGCTGCACGACGGCGCCGCGGTCGGGCTGCACCCGGTCCTCGACGTCGCTTCGTGGCTCGAGACCTCCATCAAGGTCTTTATGGGCGACTTCACCGTCGATTCCGACAAGTGGTTGCTCGTCGACGTCGTTCTCGGCCTGTACGGCCTAGCGTACATCGCCAAGCTTCAGCGCGAGGCGGCGACCAGCGTGAGGGGTCGCGCGGTGTTGGATCGGCTCGACATCGACATCGAGCCCGCCGGGGGGCATCCCCCCTCGCCCGCCCGCGAGAAGAGCGTCGTCCAGTGGTGGGACCTGCTGCAAGCGCAAAAGGCATCCATCTTCCCGTCGTACCTCTTTGGGAACCTGCTCGACCTGCTCGAGTCGGAGCTCTCGGAGGCGATGAATCGGAGCAAGGGCGCGCGCCGCAAGAGGCGGAAGCGACCAGCCGAGAACAACGGGGGCGCCAAAACCTCGCCACGCGAGCCAAACGACGTGAAGCGGCTGGCGCACGGCCGGAAGCCCGAGAGGCGCAAGTCTGCCGCGCTCTTTGACCGCGACGGATTCGAGACGGCACTGGAGCGAGCCCGTGTGGGCGCCGCATATCGAGAGGAGCGTCACCCCGGCCACGCCGGTGTCCATAGGCGCTGCACGCGAGCGCCCGGCTGTACAAGCGCACCATCGAGCCGCAGCCGACGACGCTGCGGGGGGACGCCGCCTCTGGCCGCGTCACCGCGATGGTTGCGTCCCTCAGCGCCTCGGCGTGCAGAGAGAAGAGGGCGGTGCCCGCGCAGCGAGGCCCGCGAGACGCCACACTTTGCGTCCGTAGGTGCGCGACGCTCTGAGCGTGGCCAGCGCCGGCCCACGCGAGCCCGAGATCTTGAGCTACAGCTACCTCGAGCCCGACAGTGAGGACGACGACGGCGACGCAGAGGACGCGCCACCGCCGGCCTACCAAATCACCACCATAAAGGGCGCGTTCGACGACGGGAAGGACTCCCTCGAGCCTCCCGCCCGGTCCCCTGCGGAGCGAGTGGGAGGGAAGGAGTCTCTTCTGTGATCTACTCGTGTCATTGCGCCCAGGTTGGCTTCATCGCGTGCTGAACCAGGCGTTGCCTCTGGGGCTTTCGCCCGACGCCGCACTTGACTGTCGGTGTTTGGTCTGCCTAGCACACTGCGCGGCGCCGGAAAATACGTTGTTGGTAAAAAACACACTGAGAAATTAAGAGCCATGCGAGAAGCCGATGATGAGAGAGGTGTGGCAGGGGGTTCTAGACCCAACGCGCAGATGAGGAGGCTGTGATCATGCAATAACCAATATGCGGCTATGCCGACGAGCTCTTCCAGGCGTGGAGAGACGGCAAGATCGTGCGGCGAAAGGACTTGCCGGAGAAGGTGGTGTGGCTATGACTTTGTGGACCTTTGCGAGAGGTGGCGAGCGGAGCAAGAGCGGTGTGCGCGCGTCCACGCTGCGCAGCGGCTCTCCCGCGACCCCGGCCCCTCTCGCAGCCGCAGCCGTAGCAACAGCCCCAACTCGCCGCTCTTCTAGAGTGTCGGGTAGTGACCAGGGGTGGAGGGGACGGGGATTGAAGATCCCTCATACCAAGATCGTGCAGGGCGGGGACACATGACGTGAGACATGACAACAACAACATGCACATGCACATCTGTGCTTGCGCATGCACGTCATCTGTCTGCTTGCTGTCTGTCTGTGCTTCTCGCTCGCTCGTGCGAACTTGGAAATTGTGCTGACCTCCTTTCACCTCCTATATACTCTCCTCTGCGACGTGGCTGTGTGTGTTTGGGTTTGTATGTTTGCGATTTGGATTTTGGATTTTCACTGCAATTTATTTATTATTTATGATAATCTACCCTTGCACTGGCCGGCTCGTCCGCCGTCCCTCCGGGATGTGAGGGGCCGATGAGTCCCTCGGCCCGCGCGGAAGTGTCTCGGCCAGTGCAAGGGTAGATTATCGTGGAGCCGGACAGACAACGCAGCCGCGAAGGGCCCGAGGTGCTTCGCCGACGGTGAGGCGGGCTGTGGTTGGAGCCACCGGGCGGGAGGCGGGCATGGTCCATTAGCGATAGAGGCCACACCGGCGTGCGAGTAGCAGAGGAGGAGCGCGGTGGTGGGGAGCATCGCCGTGAGATGTAGAATGAGAAGGCACGAAGGCACAGATGATCAAACAGGACAACAACTGAGAACGCGATACAGTGGGTTGCGGGCATTAAAAGAAAACAGGATCGCGCGGCACGCCGCCGTTTCTAAGCCTTTCCACACCCCTCACCCACCCCACGCCGTGGTTTCTTATACGTACTACCACACTTCGTGAACAGAATGGAAGTCGCAGGAGCGAGAGGATGAGCTGAGCGTGGCTGCCTCCAGACTGAGAACGCCCTCGAGTGCAGAGTGCAGAGAGGGAGAGAGAGAGAGAGGCGTGTCGCGTGTGGCAGAGAAGGGTGTTGCGTGTGTTTGTGTGTGGGCGGCGCCCGCCGACGAAAAAGTGCCGTTTCACACGCGCGAGTGCCATCTATCGTCGCCGTCGGGGCCAGCCAGCCGCCATCGCCGCGCGCTCCACGGCGCACGGACGCGGACCACTGTCAGCTTCCACTCTCCGGTCACCTCCGCGCGATGCCCACCTCCTCGCGCCTAGACAGGGGGGGTGTCACAAGTACGTATGGTACCCCGGGTTGAGGCGGCGGTGGTGGTTTTATTGCGCTACCACGTACCACAGCGCTTGGGCCACATCAGCCCCAGCGGTCAGATCCGTCTCCTCTGAGCTCTGTCGATCTTGATGCTTATTTAAAAGAGATGTGTCAACCCTTGTCTACTCCACTGGCGCCGAGCAGGAGGGCCCGGCGCACAACCCCTGTGTGCAACTCACCCTCCACACCCCGCACCGTAGAGGGACGAGTGGCCCGGGTCGCTCCGGCACCTCCCCTACCCCCACGGTACCGCACCCACTCCCTACCCTCATGGTACCCGAACCCTAGGGGCGAGTGGCCCCGGTCGCTCAGGCCGCCGCCGCGAGTGCCGCGAGCTCCGGCGCGCGGTCCGAGTCCGTCGCCCGCGCCGCCTGCGCCGCGAGGTTGAGGCAGGGGCGCCGTGTCTAAAAAAGAAAACCCACCTGCCCGCCAAAAGCGAAGTGCAGCGCGGGGGGCAGGGGCGCCGTGCCTTGGACTCGGCCGCGAGGTCGTCATAGGCGGCGAGGAGGGCGGGCCAGGCGCCTACGCGCTGAACACACCAACATCAGGGCGGGAAGACGGTGTTGTGCAGTGTCTTCAGAGAACCGCGTGAGTACGAGGGGTGCGAATACAGCGAACACAGCTGAATACAGCGGAATTCGTGTCTCTCGAGTGCTGGTTGGGAGACAAGAACACGTATGGTCCGACACATCTAAAGTGGAAGGGTGGGGTAGGGGAGAAGTACTCTTGAGGGAAACATTGGACCGTCAGGCCCCGGGGACTGGCCAGCCCGACTAACACAACCTTCAGGAACACCATTTTGCGGTCCTGAGCGGCCGTCTCGGAGCAGAAGCTTCCCTGCCTCCTTAGCCATGTTGCGGTGCCCTCGCGCCATCTGGTCCACGCACGCACTGCTCGCAAGTAAAGCGTCTTCACAGGTCGGCAGATACGCCTCACCTTCAAAAAGGTGGCTGCCTACCCCAAAGCCCAGCCCGGTGCATCGATTTCTCTTGACGATTTCACTTTAAAACGCTGGTGCAGATGGGGTTTTCTCTATAGAAGTCGGAGCCTTGCGTCGAAGGAGAGGCAGCGTGCGGCTCCGTGGACTCGGCCATCACCCGCGGGTGAGAGGGCGATAGGAAGCACTCCCGCCCTCTGAGGCGGCCGTCCGAGTCGGGGAGGCAAACACACAGCCATCCTCGCGGGTGTGGGCGGCCTTATCGGCCCGCTATACTAACCCTTAAGTCGGCCCTTCCTCGGGTCGGCTTCGGAGGCCCCGCAGCCCTAGCCGGAGCTAAGGGGCCCGGCTTTCTCGGCGCTAACCCTAGGGGAAATCGCTCCGGAATAGGGTTCCCGGCACCATCGGGCGGCGCCACACGGATGGAGGGAGTCGGGTTTGCCATCGGCGGGCCGTGAGGGCGCTGAGAACTGAAGGCTGAGTTTTCGCTCCCACTTTCGATGTGTCGGAGTATGCGAGGACGGCCCGTTCTGCCCGTTCTCGGGCTAGTCAGCAGATCTAGCGCAGAGAGGGCGATGAGGCGGAGGCACGCCGCAGCGGCAGGTGCAAAGAATTGGTATGAACAAGCGTATCAGCCGCTATACACACGAAGTTGTCACGGCTACCCTTTGAGTCGGTGTTCGTCTCGGTGGCGAAAATCGGTCTACCGCCGCCACGCGATTGCGCGCGCGCGAGGGCTACTCGAGACAAGCTTGATGGCCTCCGCCGCTCCTCCTAGTCTGATCCGCCTCTCCTCTAGCGCGGAGGGCCTCATCTCGCCGGGGAGAAGTGCGGTGATCCGCCTACCGCCTTAGGCACTTGAACGGCGTCACGGTGAAGGCGGGCTCGGCCGCTGCCTCCCAACGCCTTCGAAGGCCGAGCCGCGCGCTCTCGCGCGGGTTGTGAGCCGCAGGCACGCGCGCCTGCTCGGGGACGCGCCGGGGAGTCGTGTGTGGACCGTTAAGAGAGCCGGGAAGGTCCGTTTGACGGTGCCGATACCTTGGATGCGACCGGCATGATCGGCGAAAGTAGCGCGGTCCTCCGCTGCCTACCGACGCCTTCCACGGCCGAGCCGCGCGCCCTCGCGCGGCGTGTGAGCCGCGGGCACGCGCGTCTGCTCGGGGACGCGCCGGGGAGTCGTGTGTGGACCGTTAAGAGAGCCGGGAAGGTCCGTTTGGCGGTGCCGATACCTTGGACGCGACCGGCATGATCGGCGAAAGTAGCGCGGACCTCCGCTGCCTACCGACGCCTTTCACGACCGAGCCGCGCGCCCTCGCGCGGCGTGTGAGCCGCAGGCACGCGCGTCTGCTCGGGGACGCGCCGGGGAGTCGTGTGTGGACCGTTAAGAGAGCCGGGAAGGTCCGTTTGGCGGTGCCGATACCCTGGACGCGACCGGCATGATCGGCGAAAGTAGCGCGGTCCTCCGCCACCTACGGACGCCTTTCACGGCCGACCCGCGCTCCATCGCGCGGGTTGTGAGCATCCCGTACCCGAACCTACTCGGGGCGCCGCCGCGACGGCCTGGATGGCACGTATTTTTGGCCGGTGGTGCCTCTGTCCGAGTCGGCGGCGGCAGCGGCGATGAGGCCGCGGCGCAAGGGCGGAGCAGAACCGCCGCAGCGGCCTGCGGCTGCGCCGCGCGCCCGCGCGCGGAGGAGGGGCGTGTGTGAGTCAGTGCTACGCGGTGCCGCCCTTGGAGAGGCGAGAGAAGCCGGTGTGGCAGGCAGGTTTAGCTTTGTCGGGCGGCGCGAGCCGCCTCGCCGCACGCGGCCCAAATCAAGACACCACACCAGCTGCGCTGGCAGCGGGCGCTGGTCGTCTGGCAGGCAAAGGGGCGGCTAAACGGCATGGCCCGGATCGCGTGCGCCAGGCCCCGCGCGCAGAGGGCGGCTCTCTGAGTTCAGGGCGACACAGAGCGCTCGGCAGCAGCTGTGAGCTCTCAAAAGTCGCTGTTCACACTGGCGACACCGGTTTCTTCTTTTATATCTTCATGAACCGCTGGGGGAGGAATAATTTCGTGCCCAGACCGCCGTACTGGCACGGTAGGATCGAGATCCGCGAGCGAGAGATGGAATTGGAGCCCTGGTGCGACGGGTTAGGTGAGCTACCATCACTGTCTTAGTGCGCGCGCCCCGCATGGTCCGACACATCTAAAGTGGAAGGGTGGGGTAGGGGAGAAGTACTCTTGAGGGAAACATTGGACCGTCAGGCCCCGGGGACTGGCCAGCCCGACTAACACAACCTTCAGGAACACCATTTTGCGGTCCTGAGCGGCCGTCTCGGAGCAGAAGCTTCCCTGCCTCCTTAGCCATGTTGCGGTGCCCTCGCGCCATCTGGTCCACGCACTGCTCGCAAGTAAAGCGTCTTCACAGGTCGGCAGATACGCCTCACCTTCAAAAAGGTGGCTGCCTACCCCAAAGCCCAGCCCGGTGCATCGATTTCTCTTGACGATTTCACTTTAAAACGCTGGTGCAGATGGGGTTTTCTCTATAGAAGTCGGAGCCTTGCGTCGAAGGAGAGGCAGCGTGCGGCTCCGTGGACTCGGCCATCACCCGCGGGTTAGAGGGCGATAGGAAGCACTCCCGCCCTCTGAGGCGGCCGTCCGAGTCGGGGAGGCAAACACACAGCCATCCTCGCGGGTGTGGGCGGCCTTATCGGCCCGCTATACTAACCCTTAAGTCGGCCCTTCCTCGGGTCGGCTTCGGAGGCCCCGCAGCCCTAGCCGGAGCTAAGGGGCCCGGCTTTCTCGGCGCTAACCCTAGGGGAAATCGCTCCGGAATAGGGTTCCCGGCACCATCGGGCGGCGCCACACGGATGGAGGGAGTCGGGTTTGCCATCGGCGGGCCGTGAGGGCGCTGAGAACTCAAGGCTGAGTTTTCGCTCCCACTTTCGATGTGTCGGAGTATATTCCGCGTATTCCGCTTCTAGGGCCAAGCGCCGCACGAAGCGAGCGCCGAGAGCAGCGCCTGTTCACAGCTGGAGGTGTGAACAGACGCCAATCACAGGCGCCGCACGAGGCGAGCGCGGAGAGCAGCGCCTCGTCCGCCTCGATCTGGCCCGCCAGATCGGCAGCCGGCTGAGTGAGCGGCGTGCAGCTGCAGCGCGGTCGAGCTCGCGTCGGCGCCGCGCAGCAAACCTAACAAAAGACATACACGCGCCGTCTGGCTCAACACAAGAAAAGAAAACGCGCGGCGGGCCGCGCAGCAGGCCTAACAAAAGACATACACGCGCCGTCTGGCCCAACAACAAGAAAAGAAGACGCGCGCAAGGGCCGCGCAGCAGGCCGAGCTGGCCGCACGCGCGCAGCGCATAGACGAGGGAGCGGTCCGACGGCGACGGCGCCCCTCGATGCCGCTCCACCGCCTAAAAAAGAAAACCCGCTCCACCGCCTCACCCACAGAAGAGCAGGCCTTTGGACAAAGAGACGCAGGGCGCGGACGATGCCGCGCCACGGCCGGGAGGGGGGAGGAGAGAGAGGAGAGAGGAGAGAGGAGAGAGGAGAGAGGAGAGAGGAGAGAGGAGAGGGAGGAGAGAGGGAAGAGGGGGGAAGGGGAGAGGGGAGTGGGGAGAGGATGGAGAGAGGGGGGGGGGGGGGTGAGGGGAGAGGGAGGAGGAGTGGGCGGGCCTCGTCGAACCAGCCCGCCGCCAAGCACGCGCCAACCGTCTGCTCGCGTAGGTGCGCCTAAAAAAGAAAAAAAACGCGGTTGCGGAAAAAGAAACGCGCCCTCTCTCTGCTCGCGTAAGTGCGCCAGACCGCCGCCGACGCGGCGCGGGGCCGCTGTCGGCGCTGCTGCCGAGCTCCTGCGCTGTGGGCTTCGCCATCGGGTCCTGAGTACGTCGCCGACGCCACCTGCCGCTCGCCGCTGCCTTGGACTTCCCTGCCATCAGGCAAACACACACACACACACACACACACACACACACTATTAAGAATCGGGTAATAATTATTAATTATTAATCATCGGGCGGGGGCGCGGCGCGGCGGCGAGCGGCGCGAGGCGGCGGCGCGGCGAGGCAGCGGGCGACGCAGTGCGGGGCGGCGCGGCGGCGGGTGGTATAATTGTTTATTAATTAATTAATAATGAATTAATAATTGTCGGGCGGCGGCGCGGCGCGGCGACGGGCGGCGCGGAGCGGGGCGGCGCGAACATCTGCTCTGATCAGGTGACGCGAGGGCGCGACTGCGTCGCTAGATTTGATTATTCATCTTGGGTAACCTCGAGTGATATGAGTTCAAGTAATATGAGTTGACCTCGCGTATTGTATTCCACGTCCTGACCTAATTAATTAAGTAATTAAGTAATTGCGTATTGTATTCCGCTTCGGGTATTCGTAAGTATTCCAGGGGCGGAGGAAGGGGCGGGCGGCGTGGCGGAGCTGTCTCGACTCAGTGCAGTGTACCACCACCCACGCTGTAGATGGACAGAGGAACCAACAGAGCGCAGTGGGAAGGGGAAGGGGGGAGAGGCTGCGAAGGGCGAGGGGGGGTGGAAGGGGGTGGGCCGTGCTATGCCACCTGCCTCGTGCGCACCTCTATTCTGCTCCGCAGGACATACGAGGATGCCTTAATTGGATGGCTCACATCGAACCCTCCCCCGCCGCCGCCGCCGCCGCCGCCGCCGTTACCACCGTTGCCGCCCCCGCCACTAGAGTGCTGTTCTACGGCTCTTTTGGGGGTCTGCCTGGTCTACCGGCAGGGGGGAGAATGCGTTTGAGAAGACCCTAGTAAGGTTCGTGTCTTGGAGGCGACTCAGTTGCACGCTGTGTTTCTGTGGCAGTCGGTGTTCACTCCACCTCACCGGAACCCAACCGGAGGCAGCGTCTCCACATCATGTCGATCGACACCGCTTGTGATCACACACGCACACACTCACACAGACTCACGCACAGATCAATTGGTCGTCCTAGGATACCTCCTAACTTGAGCAGCAGCAGGGGCCCGGCGCCGGCGTCTCGACCGCCGTAAGAGCTACAAGCGCCGAGGGGGAGATCACCCACTGCCACTGCCTCGCACGTCGCAGCGAGTGAGGAGCGGGGTTTGTGGTCCTTTTCTCACACCAAATATAAAAGAGCCGCAACGCGAATGGCAACAGCCGTTCGGTTTGGGGCAACAACAGCCATTTGCCGCAAAATCCCCGCTTCCTTGGCTGCCCCTTGAACCACGCGCCCTGCACTCCTTTCGTGCCTCCCCCGAGCGGTGCTCTGAAAACAGCCCAAGACTCTTTTCGCCTCGGACGTGTACGCAATCAGTGACTCGCTTCACGCCGCAGCTCGTCTTTCGGCTTGACACGCAACGTCGCTCTCCTGGATCGCCGCTCACGCGAGTGGGCTCAGTCCACGAGCACCGGCACGTCGACCACCTTTTGCTTCTTGCTCGACGGCTTGGCCTTCTTGGCTGGTGGCGGTTTGGCCTTCTTGGCCGCCGGCTTTGAGCCGGCCTTTGGCTTGGGTGCGAGGCCCTGTCCCTTCGGGCTGTGGGGCTTGCCGGCAACGGTTGGCTTGGGTGCGAGGCCCTGTCCCTTCGGGCTGTGGGGCTTGCCGGCAACAGCCGCGGGCGCGTAGAAGCGCGCGCACTCCTCGAAGGCCTCCCGAACCTCCGCCACTGATGCAAACCTGCCGCCGCGGTGCGTGTCCACGGTGACGCCGATGTTGTCGTACATCCAGGTCCACAAGTTGTCGAGGTTGTCGAACCCCGGGCTGAGGCGGGTGTACCCGCAAGTGCTTTGGTAGTAGCCCCACTTGCCGCGGCGCATGTTGACCTCGCGTCCCATTTGCTTTGGTGTAAATTCCTGCGACGTGGAAACAGGGCGCTTGTTTATGCTGCGATGAGGGCGTTGCCGTAAAGTGCGATGCGTGACCTTGGCGCTGAGCGCGCTGGGAGCCGTACTGGAGGGTGGGAGGTTGGGTGGTGTGCGCGGCAGAACTACGAGGCGACGTCGTGGGTGGGCGGCGACTGCTTGCTTCACCTGGACAGTCAGCCGTGTTTAGCAAAAAGAATTTCCCCCGCGCCTCCCACAACTTTGTCCTATACGAGTTTTGCTTCACCTGGTAGCGTGGTTTTACCTCACACCCATGGTCTGACAGTGTGCCGGCAGTCGCCGAGCAGTGTCGCTCACACAAGCCGCAGCACAACTGACTGAGGGCCAGTGAGGGCGAGCCCATCGCTGTCACAGCTGTGGCAGCCGCACAGTAGGCTGTGTCAGCTGTGCAGAGTGTGTGAGCAGCAGAGGAGCTGCTCTCCAGGCTTCTGTCGCAAAGAGCTGCATGCCACCGAAAGCGCTGTCGAGGTTCGCCGAGCGCGGCGAAATCGGGGGACGCCGTCACCGACGAGCGCGTTGGAGTATTCACTCCGGACAAAGACGGGGACACAGCGGACGGTGCGGGGTGTGTCCCCGTCATAGCGGCGAGGCGCGGGACCGTCTGTGTGGCGAAGTGGGGGTCGCGTCCCCCGATTTTGTTCAACCCAGCATCCACACCCTTTACACGTAACTGCGGTAACAATACCTAGAGCCGTAGGCCTCACCACATATGAAGACAACAGAGGGGGCGCCCGCAGTACACTCTGCCCCGGCGTGAGGGTGGCGTCAAGCCGCGCACGACGCCTCGACCAGCGCGCGGAGCGGCGACACGGAGCCGGCCACCACCTGCTCGTCGAGCAGGCCGCCGTCCATGAAGAAGTCGGCCAGCCGCTGCACGTCCTGCAGCAACACGGTGCGGTGCGCCGGCGCGTATCTCCGGTTGGGCGCCTCGAGCACCGCGGTGAGCGCCAGGCTAAAGGTGCCGAGCACGGCGAGCAGCGCCTGCTTTGACCAGGCGGCGAGCGCGACGCCGCGCACGATGGCGGCGAGGGTGGGGTTGAGGCGCGTCAGCAGCGGCGCGAGGCGCGAGGCGGGATCGAGCGGCGACGGCAGGTAGAGCTGCGTGAGGAAGGCGGAGCCGAGCTCGTAGTAGACGACCTTGCGCGCGACGTACTTTGCGATGGCGTCGCACGCCGCGTCGCACTGCGACGCCCCTCCCGCCATCAGCGTGTCGACGCCGCCGCCGCCGACGCGCGTGCGGGCGAGGGCGGTCAGGTCTGGCAGCGATGCAACCAGTTTGCTCGCGAGCTTGCCCAGCTGCTCGCGCGCCCACGCACAGTTGTTGAGCCGCAGGCAGAGCTGCTCGAGCGGCTGGGCCTCGAGCGCCGCCTTGTTGGCGGGCGGGCCGGCGGCGGCGCCCTTTGCGCGCGAGGAGCGCGAGCGGCCCGCGGAGGTGGCCGGCGCCTCATCCGAGGCGACTGCGCTGGCGGCCCGACGCGCGTCCCCCTCGAGTGCGGAGGCGGGGAGGGGGACGCAGCCCTCGGCGACGATGCGCACGTACGACCCGACCTTTGGGGAGGGGGCAGGAAGGGGGATTGGACGGCCGCGGGGGCGAGGTTCCGCGGTGGGGAGAGAGCGCAGCGGCGCGCATCGCCGCGAGATGCGGGCGGCGGGGAGGCGTGTGGAGGCGTGGAGGCATGGAGGCGCGGTGCGGTGCCGGCCGACCTTGCGCTCGACGACGTCGGTGAAGGCGCGCAGGTCGGCGGGCTGGAGGGGCTGCAGGCTGGCGAAGCTGATGAAGACGTCGCAGAGCTGGTCGAGCTGGGTGAAGAGGTCGACCACCGACGAGGAGCGCAGCACCGCCGGCCGCCCCCCCGAGATTGGCTCCCACGACTGCGCGGCGACGGGGGCGGGGGGTGGACCGTGAGCGGCGGCCTGGACTTGTGTGCTCTGGAGCAGGGCCTCTACGAGAGCCGCATCTCTCCGCCGCATCTCTCTGCCGCATCTCTCTGCCGCATCTCTCTGCCGCATCTCTCTGCCGCATCTCTCCGCCGCATCTCTCTGCCGCGTCTCTCGACCGCGTCTCTCTGCCGGCCGGCGCCTCGAGCTCGACGGCGCGCCCGATGGACTCGGCGAGCAGCGCCTCGAGCTGCGTGCACCTGCCGAGGGGCGGTGGCGGACACGGGCGGGTCTGCTGGCGGCGCCGGCCGGCCTCGGGGCTCGCTCCGCGCGCACCAGCCAGCCGAGAGGTTGGCGCAGAGCTGCTGCAGCTGCGGCAAGGCGGGCTCGCCGCACACGGAGCGGAAGGCGGCGGCCAAGGGCGAGAGCGCGCGGATGGCCTCGAGGGCGTGCGCCTCGATCGTCACGAAAGTGGAGAGGGCGGGCTGCAGGTCCTCGTCGATCTCGCGCTCAAAGAGGCGCGCGGCGTACCTGCGGCGTGAAGGCGGCATGGGCGAGGAGTGCAGAGGAGCACGCGGGGTCTCGAGTGCCAGCTCGAGTGCGGGCGTCTGTGTCCCGCGGTCTAGACGGGACGAACCGCAGCGCGCTCCCCTCCTCGTCGGCGGCGCCGTCGTCGACGCACGCGTCGAAGCAGCGCGCGAATCGGCCCTCCGCCTCGAGCTCATCGCGCACGGCCGCGGCCAGCACGCCCACGCGCCAGCCCTCGAGCGCGAGCTGCGCCGCCGCCTGCCGTGCGCGGCAGCTCGCGGGCGACTCCTCGCCGCCGTCGGCCGGCGGCGGCGGCGCGGCCGGCGCGGCCGGCGGCGGCCGCCTGCTCAGCGCGAGCCGCACCCGCTTGACGTGCCGGACGACAGACGCCTCGATAAGCTGCTGCGCCTGGACGCGCAGCCCCGCGGCGGCGGCGGCCGGCGTCGCGTCCGCGGGCTGGAGCGCGACGATGCACTGCGACCAGACGGCCACCGCGAGCTCCATCTCGTCGAGGCTGGCGCCATAGTGCCCGCGGTAGTCGCGCAGCTTGCCGCCCAAGTACGAGACGACCGCCGCCAACACCTCGAGCCGCCTGCGAGCCACCCACTCGGCCGTGCGCGCCTACGGGACGCGCCGTGACAATCTCGTCGACGCGTCGTGGACACGCATGTCGCCACCCCCACTCAGCCGCGCGCGCGCGCGCCGTCGCGTCCGCCTGCGACCTGCGAGCCGCCGCCGACTGCCGCCTGGCTGGGCTGCTGCGTGTGCAAGCGAGCTCGAGGTCGTGCAGCGTCGCGTCCAGCGCCTGCGTCACCGGCCCCGCGAGCAGCTGGGCGCCGGCGCCGTCCGCCATCTCGAGCCGCTCAAAGGCGACCACCAGCTGGCAGAGGCGCTCGCTCTCCTCGCCGACGAGGAGGGCCCGCCAGCTGCAAGAGAGCGACGAGAGGACGGCGTCGGCGTCCGCCGCCTCGCACGCGTACCCCTCCTCGGCGAGCGAGCTCGAGCCTAGCGGCGCTGAGGCGGTGGTGGAAGCGGCGATGTGGGAGCGCCATGCGTTGTTGGCGGCGGCGACTTTGGAGAGAAATGGCGACGATTGAGGGGTATGGCGGTGAGGGGAGCATATGAGGGCAACAGCGCTCGCAGCAAGCTGTGGGGAGAGCGGTGGTGGTGGTGGTGGTGGGGGGGGGGGAGAGTCCAGGCGGCGGCGGCGGGCGCCACCGTATGTGGCGCCGAGCAAGCTGCAGTAGAGCCGGAACCCGAGTTGGTGCGGCCACTCGACCGCCTCTCCGGGCGCGCGCGCGTCGCCGCCCCTCTGTCCCGGCTGCTCGTCGCCGAGCCCGAGCTCGGCGAGCGAGACGCGGAGGGGGTCCTCCTCGCTCCTCTCCTGCTCCGAGGGGGCTAGCCTCTTGGGGGGGCGCGGCCGCCGCCGCCGCCGCCCGCAGGGGGGTCGAGGAGGGCCTCTGCCTGGGGGGGGGGGGGGGGCCGTTAAAGCCCCGCCGGGGGGAGAGAAAATGTCGGGTGAGGGCCCCCCCTTGCCCCTTCCCGGGGGGGTAAGGAAAACCCCCCCCCCCCCCAGGGCCATTCCAAGGGGGGAAGCGGCACGGGCGGGAGAGAACGAGAGAGAGGGGTGGCGTTTGCTCTTCGCCTGCCGGCGCAGCCGGGCGAGCGTGGCAGAGGACATGCCGCGCTCGTGCAGCGCCTGCAAGCGAGAAGTGCGGTGTGAGGCGCGTCTCCGGGTCGCTCGTCGTGCGCGGCGCGGCTGGCGGCGCATTGAGAAGGAGCAGCAGCTGCCGCATGCCAAAGGCGCGCACCTCCTGCTCACAGCCGGGTGCGTGAACCGAGGCTGCTCACACCCCACGCCGCGCTGCCGCCCCCTCGGCCGCCTCCGCGGTCGGCGACTGCGACGCGGCCTCGCTCGGCCTAGCGGCGAGGAGGAGGCGAGCGCGGTGCGCCGGGCACCCTGCCGGCTCGGTGGCGACGCGGCGGAAGGTGGTCGGCTCGTCGGTGCGCAGGAGGAGGGCGAGGCAGCGGTGCGTCCGCAGGGGCAGCCCGAGCCGGCCGCGCACAGTGTGGATTAGCTCCTCGCTGACCAGAGGGCCGCCGCCGTCGCCCGCGGCGGCGAGCAGCAGCGCCTCGTACGCGGCGACGCGCAAGTCCTGCTCGCTCACCTCGACTGCGAGCGGCGCGTGCACCTGCTCACACGCAGGGCCGTGAACCGGCGCCCTCCCCGCATCACCTGCGCGCCCAGCGGCGCGTGCACCGGCGCCGTCGCCACCGGCGCGGGCGGCAGGATGCCCGCCCTGCCAAACTCGTCGCTGTGTGCGCCGCTCGCGCTGCGGCCGAGCCCGGACGGCGTGAGCACGAGCGGGGTGTGCGCCGGCGCGGGTGTGCGCGCGAGCAAGTCGCGGGACGAGACGACGATCTTCACCTACAGGCGGCCCGAGAAGGGTCCGGGAAGGGTCCGGGCAGCCCGCGGGACGAAGAGACGGCGATCTCGACGTCCGTGGGGGCGAGGCGCAGCAGCGGCGGCCGGGCGCCGCCGTCGTCGGGAGAACCGTCGGGCGGCGCCGAGGCGGACAGCGGCGGCGACGGAGAGTGGGGGCGGTCGGCGGGAGGCGAGGCGGTCGGCGAGGCGGCGGTGGGGTCGGAGCGCGCTGCCGGCGGAGTGTGTAACAGAGTGGGTGGCGGGACGCTGCCGCTCATCACTGCAGCGGCGGCGGCAGAGGCGGAGGCGGTCGTCGCGAGCGCCACCTGCGGGCCGTGTCGTGGACGTGTCGTGGACGTGTCGTGGACCCGTCGTTGCCGGCGGCGGCCGAGGCGAGGCGCGCACCCTCGCGCGGGAGCCGCTCCACGGCAGCCCCTCCTTGAGGACAGAGTCGAGGTGGGGCAGGTCTGCGAGCGGGCCGGAGCCTGCAGTGCGTGGGCGCAGCGGGGCGAGGGCGTGGGTGCAGCTGGACTGCAGTCTGGACACGGCCGGACAAAACCGTCTTGCGGTGTCAGGAGAGCTCGCTGGAACACGGATGTCAGAGGAGCTTGGTAGGCGTGAGAAGAGCTCGCAAGAAACACCGCATCTAGGCGGCCCGAGCCGCCGCGCCACGAGCCGAGCGCCTCCTGCAGCATCAGAGCGTCCTCCGCGTGCCTGCGAGCAGAGGAGGGAGGGGGAGGGGGGGAGGAGGGAGGGAGGAGGAGGGAGGGAGGAGGAGGGAGGGAGGAGGAGGGAGTGAGGAGGAGGGAGGGAGAGCAGCGTGGCCGGAGTGCGTCGGGCGGAGAGGCGGCAGGGGAGGGCAGCGGGGCACGCGCGATTCACACCTGTTTGACGCACGCAGCGCCTCGAGCAGCCCTGAGTGCGGGGGAGGGCGGGAGGGAGGGCGTGTGGCGAGGGCGTGCGGTGTGTGCGGAGGCTTCTCGGAGGCGTCTCGGAAGCCACCTCCCGGCCGCAGGTTGACTAGCGCGAGAGGCGCGGCCAGCAGCCCGTCCTGCAGGACAGCCGCGCCGGCCGTCTCGCACAAAAACATGGCGAAGGCGTCCTCCGCCACGGCGAGGCGCAGCGCCGCCACCGCCGGCGTCGTCACCTCGCTCGCGTCGAGGGCGAGCTCGAGCGCCTGTGGTCCGTCATCGCGACTTTCGCTGTCTGTGCGGGAGGAGCTCTCTGCTGGAGAGAGGGGTGGCAGGGCTGGCGGCGAGGGGCGGCGGCGGCGAGGGGCGGTAGCGGCGAGGGGCGGCGGCGGCGGTGAGGCCGGCGGTGGAGAGGCAGAGGGCTGCAGAAGAAGACCTGCTCCGCCAGCGCCTGCAGCGGCCGCAGCCCCTCGAGCACGGCCGGAAGTGGCATGCCGCGCCAGCAGGCGGGCGCATCAGGCCGGCGGAAGAGGTTGCAGTCGTCCCACTCGCAAAGTCCGACGATGTAAGGAGCGTAGGCGAGTTCCGCGGCCGGGAGTGATCGCCGCTCGACGAGCGAGCGCAGCTCCGCGACGCTGGGCCCGAGAACCGCCTCTGGCTCTCCCGTCGTGGCGACGCGGTGGAGCAGAAAGAGGGTCTTCGCCGTGGTCACGGGCCGCGCGCCGCATGTGGACACGCGCTTGGCCAGTGCGCTCGCGACCTGCTCCTGCAGTTCCGGCTCGCAGGACCAGCGTGCCACGGCAACCACATGCTTCTCCTTGGGCTCAAACAGGTCGTCTGTCGTCGCCTTGAAGACCGCCGTGGAGATCTCGTCCATGGCTGCGGTCTGCAGGTTCCGCAGGCCGGCGGCCAGGCGGCCTGCCATGACGGTTCGCTCACCTCCTCGCGCCGCCTCCCTGGGTTCGGACTTTTTGCGGGGTATGGTTCGGACTTTTTGCGGGGTAGGGTCGGCGCCCTGGCGCCGCGACCATACCCCCCCACCCGCACAGGACGTCGCCTCTGGCCAGCAGGACCATACCCCCCCACCCCCCACCCCACCACACGAGCGCGTTCTGTCAACAGGTAGGTACTGTCTCCCGTATTCCATAATAACGGTTTCTAAACCCAGAGTGTCAGAGTTTGCACAATCCTTTGTTGGAGTTTTCGACTTCCGTCCGTTCGCTTGGATACAGGGTGCTGAGAGCGGCCGAAAGGCAACTCCCCAGGATTCAAATTCCGCTCGCTGTCTCACATCTGTGGTTCTGCTAGATAGCGACAGGCACCTAATCCCTGCCCTCCCTCTAACCCTGCACAAACACGGTCGGGGACATGTTTCTTTTTTGCCCATCTCACATAGAGGTGTCCGTTTTATTTATTTATTACCCTCCCTCCCCTTGCACCTCCCTCCATTAATTTTCCCCCTCCCTAGGGCAAATTGTGGGGCCAGGATACGCAGCAAGGAGGACGGAGTTGCGCCGAAAGGCGAAAGAAGCCGCGAGAACAAGGGACCGGCAGGCGGCGGCGCCGCAGGACGAGGCAGAAGAGAACGACGCGACAGAGGAGGAAGTGACAAGGGAGGGAACGACGAGAGTGGGTGGGACGACCGCGGGGTGGCATGAAGGTTGCAGCGAGAGTCGGCGAGAGACTGCGAAGAGAGATAGGAAGAGGCGGACGCCCAAGGGTGGGCGACGGCTAGCGCACCACACCCCTCTTCTTAAAATCCCTGTGTGGTGGCGGCGTGCCGTCCTCCCATCCCTCCGTTACAGTGGGTTGCGGGCATTAAGAAAACAGGATTTCGCGGCACGCCGCCGTTTCTAAGCCTTTCCACAGCCCTCACCCACCCCACGCCGTGGTTTCTTAGCTCCGGCCGGCACTCAGGCCAGAGCCGGCCCCCTAAGGATTTTAGGTAAGAGGTCAGCTGCGGTCCGCGAGGGCGATGCCAGAGTCTGCCGCCGAGTCGGCTCTCTGGATGACGGGAAGACGCACACACGCCTCCATCTCCACTCCACTCAGAACTCACCGTAGACTTGGAAAGTGACAAGTGCGCGCGCCGCAGGCGAAGAGAAATTTTGAGCTGGGGCTCCCCGCTCCCGTTCACACTCGAGACTCGTGTCTGGCCTTTTCTCGGGGCCGCGCCTGCGGCGCGCCGTGGTTTCTTAGATTTTTGCGGAAATCTCTTGGTAGGGTTTCTTAATGCGACGTTTTCTTAATGCCCGCAACCCACTGTAGGTTGGGTGTTTTCTTTCTTTCTTTCTGGGGCTCGTGCACGCACATTCACAGCCTTGTTATTGAGAAGAAAATACTTTTGCGCTGGTCTGTGAGAGGTTGAGGTGCGAGCCCTGGAGGCCCTGGGAATGGGGGGAGACTACCCTACAACCCGCGGGCCTAGAAGGCCCTTCACATTCCCAGCATCAAGAGCTCGAAGACGCCGGGGGCTTGAGCGACGTCGAGAGCGACGAGCAGAGAAGATGTCGGGCTCGGAGGAGCGGTACCGTGACCTGGACCGCGATAGGAGGCGCGACCGCGACCGCAGCCGGGACCGTAGCCGGGACCGCGACCGCGACAGGCGGCGCGACCGCGACCGGCGCGACCGGTCACGCGAGAGGGAGCGGCGGCGCCGCAGCGACCACTCGGACGACGAGGATCGCGACCGGCGCCGGCGCCGCGACTATTCGGACGAAGAGGAGACGGACAGGCGCCGGCGCCGCGACGGCGACACAACCGCCGGCCCGCCACCGGCAGGGCCGCCGCCTGCCGGGCCGCCGCCTGCCGGGCCGCCTCCGGCAGGGCCGCCGCCGGCCGGTCCGCCGCCCGTCGGTCCGCCGCCGACGGGGCCGCCGCAGACCAACGGCGTGTCCAACGGCGATGCTCCCATGGCCAACGGCGGCGGCAGCTCCGCCGGCGGCGGGGGTGCCGATGAGGAGGCTGCCGCGAGAGCGCAGGAGGAGGAGATGGCGATGATGGCGGCGATGGGCTTCCCGGTCGGCTTTGACAGCACGCAGGGCAAGGGGGTGGACGACAAGCGCTGCAAGGCGGAGGGCGTGCGGCGCAAGGAGAAACGCGTCTACCGCCAGTGCGCCGCGCTCCTCGCCCAGCCAGCAGCAGCAGTCCGCCGTCTCACGCGCAGCGCCCGGGCGTGTAGGTACATGAACCGGCGCGGAGGCTTCAACCGGCCGCTCGACGAGGTCTGAGACGGACACCCCCCATCGCGCCCCGCACGGGGCTCGGGCCTTCAGGCCTCCTCCCGCCCGCGGGGCCGGAGGGGAGAGGGCGGGCGGAGGGCGCACGGACGGGAGCTAGGGCTGTGGGCAGCGCAGCAGAAGCGGGGCGAGGCGCACGCAGGGGCGGCTCTGCCCGCGCGGCGCGGTTGCAAAGCTACTTAATCGAGCCCCGCATACACGGCGGGGCGCCGGCGTTCTGAGCATGAGTTGCAGTTGCGAATGCCGCCGCGTTGCGGTCGTATCTATATGAATTGCTTGACACTCGTTTGGGTTTGCGTATTGCGACATTATAAGCGAGAGGGAGTGTCGCAAAGGTATAATATTGCAGTGATGCAGTGGTAGCGGGGTAGCGCATCACCGATCGTCACCGGACTCACGACTCACACGTTTTTGGAGCTGAGTGTGCGTTGTCTGTTGATAAGCCGCATGCATGTGGTACGCACAGTGGTGTACAGGGGACGTGGAGCGGTGAGGACTGAGGTAGGTCATCATTGTGTGTAGGTCTGAGCGGTGCCTCCCCCCCAGCCTCCCCCCTGGGCCGCCCTGGCCCCCTCCCCCTCTCGACTCCCCCCCACCCCCACGCCCACCCAGGGGACACACGGCTGCGGCAGCCCCCGCGGCCGCGCGCGCCCCAGCGCGCCGCGCCGTCACTCTCCTTCACCTTGCAAGCAACACTGCTGAAAAAAAAAACACTCGGGGGCGCGTGCCGGCGCGTGTGCTAGACGAGCAGTCATGCCCAAGGCAGCGAAGTCCAAGAAGGCGCCGCCGCCGACGCCGTACGCCGAGCCCAAGTCCAAGAAGCCGGAGCCCACCGGCCCCGTCTGGGAGGCCAAGCCGAAGCACTTCGGCATCGGGCAGGACATTCTTCCCAAGCGCAACCTCACGCGGTACGTGCGGTGGCCAAAGTACGTGCGGATCCAGCGGCAGCGCAAGGTGCTGTACCAGCGGCTCAAGGTGCCGCCGTCGATCAACCAGTTCACCAACAAGCTCGACAAGAACGTCCAGACCAACCTCTTCAAGCTGCTGCACAAGTACCGGCCCGAGTCCAAGGCGGAGAAGAAGGAGCGGCTGCAGGCGTCGGCCGAGAAGGTGGAGAAGGGGGAGGCGGACGAGTCGAAGAAGCCGCTCTTCATCAAGTGCGGCATCCACCACATCACCAAGCTCTGCGAGCAGAAGAAGGCGCAGCTGGTCGTGATTGCCGCCGACGTGGACCCGATCGAGGCGCGGCTTTGGCAGACGCCGACCTGCGGGGGTTAGTTGCACAGAGCCTAACCCCCGGTGCCCCTCCTGCTCCCCCTTCAGCTGGTCATCTGGCTGCCGGCCGTCTGCCGCAAGATGGACATCCCGTACTGCATCATCCCCTCCAAGGCGCGGATCGGCGCCCTCGTGCACCAGAAGAATGCGACCGCCATCGCGCTCACCGGCGTGCGGCCAGAGGCGCCCCCCCCCCCCATGGGCCTCTATGATGGTTCTCAAGGCTGGTTGGCCTTTTTCCTTTTTCCTATAACCTGGGGGAACCCACAGTGGGGTCCGATCGAAACGACTCGTGTCTTGCGTTTCGAAGCTGCACTCCCGCCCTGTGAAGGCACATTAAGGGGGGCGAGGGCTCTGCGCGGTTCGACTCGGTTGATTCTGGAGAGAGGAGCTCTCTCTCATTCCGGAAACGTTTTTTGGGGCTGCCCCAAAGAGTCCGGCGGGC